GCTCCAATGCCTATATCTGCTTCGTAAACCTGTACCCACATATTCAGACATACCCTTTTTGGTTTAGTCTGCTGAAAATAACTTGCAAAAGGGAAGTTACAACCATGACCCTTGTGCCATGGTTGCTTTTGGGATTTGGACCAGTGCTGGATGTGGGAATGAAGGGAATGAAGGGCTCTATTGCAGTGTAGCTGCTGCCCATAGTACGAGATCACACCTGATAGGGTTTAAGAAAGGGGAATGCTGAAATTCCCTTGGTTTCCCCATAAATCTGCCTTTGCCTGGAGCTATCTCCCTGGCTCCCCAGGCACAAGAACAGTGACAGGCTATGGCATAGCAGCCATCCAAAGAGAAGAGCCCTGTGTGTACACAGAGCAGATCTTGGGTACACTTGTTTCTGGCAGCTGCCCAGCAGCACACTGCTCAGCCCCGCTTTCCCCCACTCCGGGGCACGTACCTGAGAGCTCCACAGAGACGGCTGTGGTGATGACTTGCAAACACACAAACACTAATAGTAAAGTGGTCATAGTTTACCTGCAAGAAACAACACAGGGAGAAAGGATTTATGACAGCTGTATGTTCACAGGGAGCCGAGTGCTGCGGATGCTGCTGCAGGGCAGTGCCGCCCCTTCAGCCTCCTACATGTGGCTGGCAGTGAAAGCCGGTCCTTGGGGAAAGACGCTGTCTCAAAGTGCCTTTTGCTTCAGGAAACGAGTCCATTAGACAAATAAATAAGATGCTCTGCTATGTACAACAGACTGAAGTGTTATTATATATCACTTATTATATTGCTTTCCCATTCTCTCTCTTGTGATTCAATCTTCCCTGTGGAGCAGAAAGACAGTTTTCCAACAGAGCTTCACACTTATTATGTATTTACTCAAGAGGGACCATCGCGTCCACTAAGTCTTTGCCTCAGAACAGGAGCTGCCCCTTACCAGCATCCTCCATCCAAGCCAGCACTGGCTCTCAGGCCAGATGATTGGATGCATTTTGTATACCTTGAAATGCTCTGAAGGGAAATCTGCCTTCTATATGGTGGAAAAGCCAAAGATTACAACGGTTTGGTCCAATACTCTTGCATTGACAGCATATATAACCTTAATTGCAAATGGATCCTGAACTGATACAAGAAATCTACAGGGTACAATTCTGGGCATCTTAACTCCACCCTGAAAATATCCTCTTGGGATCCCTCGATTAGTCAGAGCAACCTGCTACTTCTGAAAGCTTTAGGAAAGGAAAGGAACATCCTCCTGACATTAAATGGCAGAAGCAATGTAAGGAGGCCAACTAAATTAATCCTAACTGGATTATCATCCAGTATAACATTATGGGATTTTAAATAGCCATAAATGTTCAAGTTGGTTTTAATATTTCAAATGAAAACCATGTCCTCTGGCAACACAGCATCATTTGGCATCACATTTCAGCACTGACTCAGAAGGAAGGACCACACCTACTGAATCACTGGTGTTTTCTTTGAGGTCACCTGCCCAATATTGGCTGTTTAACTCCTGTGATCTAGAAAGATCCCAGCTGACTTCAGCTGACAGGAACATTCTGAGTATATGCTTATCGACCTTGCAGAAAAGTCCATTAAATATCCTCACTGGCACAAGAAAAGCCAAAAATAAACCTCATCTTGTACAGTCCAGCATTAGCCTTTCACTTATGAAAAAGTTGACCTCCATGCACTCATTCATTTCAACCTGACACATCACAAAATCTTATCTTTGTGAAATCTTTAGTTAATAGAGATCGCTATGCTGGCAGACAATGGGACAGAACAGGACTGGAACATATCGGCAGAGAAGCACAGAGGCTTGAGTTTGCAGCTGTAGGGCCGAACAAGATCACATGGACATATCTGAATTTCTGCTGGGCCTGGGAATAAAATTGCAGGTAAGTGCCAACCTCAGGGAGAAACCGTGGAGTTGTGTGTCTGTTTGGGTGTCTCTCCCATTAGGAATGCTATCTGCATAAACAATGTATTATGAACCTCTTCTGCAGCGTGACAGTTGACTTCACCATTTCCCTCTACTGATGGTCAGGACCAAGTCAACTGCCATGCTGCAGAAGTGGTCAAAGTGTTTGGCAGTCAGTACCTGGACGATGGCAGGGGAAGGTGTCCATAGGATGGGCTGTGGGGGACAATGAAGTGCCTTCTGCTCATCAGTAAGCAAGGAGAATTGGAAACACCATCTGCTACAGATAAACAGTCTGAAATCAGCTTGGCTAAACAGCTGTACCCAAGAGTCCTTAAAGAGCTGGCTGAGTAAATTGCTGGCCCACTGATGTTCATTTATAATCTGTGCTGGAGCACTGGGGCAGGTCCCGAATACCGAAGCACTGTGCCAATAGTCAGCCAAGATATACAACGATGAGCCTCATAAATACACGCTAGTTTGATTGACATAAATTCCAGGCAAAATAATGGAAAATCTGATACAGACTTCAATTCATTAAGCACTGAAGAATAGGTGTAATATTAATCTTAGTTGAGGCACTTGTATATAAAACAGGTGCTTCCAAACTTGATTTTATTAGTTGGCATGATTCTGTTTGTCTGATAAAGCTGCCTGCATGGTTGTAACATAATGTAATTAGATTTTGATAAGGTTTGGCTTTCACAGGGTTCCATGATATGAAGATATGTAATGTCAGCAGTACATACATTAAAATGGCTTAGCAGAAGCCTAGCTGGCAGGTCTCTAAAAAGAGCCATCTGAGGAACACTGATGTTGAAGGAGATATTTCTAATGGGCATCTACAGGGGTCAGTATTAGATCCAATGTGTTTCCAAATAGACTACATTTTAATAGAATCAAATATAAAATTATATAAGGAATGCAGAAAACGCCTGACCATGGGATGCTGTGTCCTAGAAAGAGTCACTCAGGAGAGCCACTGCCATCATCTGACATATAACCAAACAGAAATACCTCTGTGCATCACTGGTAAGCAACGGGAATACTGTGCACATCTCTGGCTTGGCATAAGGATATCAGAAAAAGATGGTGCAGAATATATCCAGCAGAAAGGATCTGAGGGCTGGAAGAAAAGCCTTATGGGGGGAGACTAGGAAGTCTGAATTTAATTATTGTAACAGCACCACACAAAAAGACTGAAAAGTTGACAACAGTGCGCAAATACTGTTTCAAGCAGAAGCTGCTGGTGCTAAAGGGCTCTTTGATCTAACAGAAAGTCATCACCAGAACTAGTAGCTGGGACCCATACACCAAGCAAACTCAAATGGGCAACAAAGCCCACATTTTAAACAGAAGGGAAGCAATGGAGTTTCTATCCCTTGGTAGCTTCGAATCCAGACTTGAAGGCTTCTTTGGAAGACATGACTTAGGCAAACACAAGTTAGTGGGCTCAATAAAGAGGAAACAGGGTAAAGTTTAAGGGGCCTCCATTCACAGGAGATCAGCCCAGAATGGTGCCTTCTGACATTAAAATTCATGAATACGAATGTATCATTGTTTCAATTTCTGCTTTTGTATTATTCATCTTGCCTGGCTCTAGGCAGTACAAAGAATCATGTTTATGAATATCACACACATTTTCTACCTGCCTTGTAGGATCTAAGGCAAAAAAGACATCCTGTAAAATTAACCCCCTTCCCTGCTCAATCTCAGCCAGCCATGCCTGAAGTCTGCACAGGCGAGGCATCCCCCGGCTCCGTGACAGGCAGGGAGAAAGGGATTCGGGGGTAAGCTGCCAGTGGAGAAGGATAAGGGCTTAACCTGTATTTTGTGGAACATCTCCAGGTTATAGACCAGTCACTGCTAACAGATGAGGTACTGCAGAAAACTTCAGACACAGTTGCTGCTTTTTGGTGTATTTTTAAGCTTTGCAGGGAAACTGAAGTCCACTCTCTGAAACATATTCTTGTTTAGTGAGAGGAATGCTTCCTACAAGAACAAATAACTGTGGGACTGTGCATCCAGAGCCCTCCGAGGGTAGGTCACTGCTTTCACTATGGACCAGCCCGACATCGACTGAGGACTGTCTCCCTGGAATTAACTGAGGTTGTGGGGGTAGGCTCAGATTATTTCTACTTGCACCATCCCAAGCCTGGCATTCAAGTGGATATCCTCCATTCTCATCCTCTGGATAAAAGAAGAAATAGGAAGGCAAAGATCATGTGAGTCCTGGGAGCAGGGGTGGACCCTCCAGGGCAGAAGGCACTTGGAGAGGATTCAGGTAGAAGATACTCTCCTAGACATTAATAACTAAGTCTTTAGTCATGATACCTGCTCAAGCATTAAATAAAAGCTCTTCTCCAGGCTCCTTAAATCAGGTACCTTTCAGCAGGCTCTGCATTTTGCCAGAATCCAAGTAAGCTGGACAGCCCTGAGTGTCATGCCATAAACTCAGCCAAGAGAGGCAGGCAGCTTTAGACCCAGATTGCCTACTAAAGAATAAAACATCCTAGAACATGGAAACAGAGAAGTTTAAATAAAATAGGAGCTGGCTGGCTGAAAAGACTTTTAGGGCCCATGCCTACAGCAAACCGCTATTGTTCTGAGTCCCACACAGTTGTTATTTCTGTGTACATTGGCAACGGGTAAGAGGAGAGCAGGTTGATCTGTGCATCAGTTAGACATCACAGACCAGAATGCCCTAAATAGAGGAAATTCACTTTGTCCCAAAAGCTAAGACAAGCCCATGTACTCCTACTCTTATTCAAGTTTTATGCTGATCTTTCACAAGGAAAAATAGCCTCATATGATAACAGCTGGGACCAGCAGTATCTTTGCAGTTTGGTTTAGCTATGGAGAAAAAAACACAACCTCCTCTTATCCCACAGAAGCCCAGAGGCAATGGCTTTTCCTTGTGAGCAGTGGTTAAACAAATCACATTAACAATGTTTTGGGTGTATTCTGCGAAAGTGTTGACTCCCTGCCAGTAAGAAACCCAACCTACTCCTCAGGGTGCTGTTTGCAATGTTGATCTCCATTTTTCATTCCCCTTAAGCACGCCAAAGAGATCCAACCCTACGTCTGCACACAGCTCTTGTCGGGATTCACTATGCTGGGAATGCCTTTGATTAACGTCCCGTTGTTACAGCAATGGTTCCATGCTGCAATAATTCCACTCCATGTTGTCTCTAGTGGAATATCCAAGCACATGATAACGAGCAAACAGCTGCTTGAAGGAGCAGTTCTAGAAGGAAGGAAGTAAAGACAGCGGTCTGTCTGAGCAGACATGGATAACACAGATGATGGAGACATGGTCTGTCTAGCCAAGGGAACTGGGGATGTCGTTCCTCTCGTTCTAAAGCAACATCTAAAACAGATTGTATAGCACATACCTCAGAACTGATGACCCCTCTCCACTGACTGTCAGAGAAGAGGAGGGTGATTAGCTCAAGTGTGGACGTTGTCTCTACAGAGGTGCAAATTCACATTAGATGAGCCCAAGGAGTATGAAGGTGCAGTTCAGTGCATGGGAGAATCAACCTGGAGCAGTGTGTGCTTACTGAGACAGGATCTGGCGCAGAGGAAATATATTCAAG